GGGCAGTGGAGGGACAGTTTGGAGTGAGCAGGTCAGCAGGGGGGCAGTTGGGCACGAGCAGGCCAGCAGGGGGGGCAATTGGGGGTGATCAGGCTGGCGGGGGTGGAATCTGGGGCAAGCAGGCCAGCAGTCGGGGGCAGTTGGGGGCGAGCAGGCCGGCAGGCAGAGTGGTTAGGGGCGATTAGGCAGGAAGGCAGGTGAGTGGTTAGGAGCCAGCAGTCCCGGATTGTGAGATGAATGTCCGACTGCCGGTTTAGGCCCGATCCCTGGGATTGGGCCTAAACCGGCAGTCGGACATCCCCTGAGGAACACCCCCTCCCCCATGCATGAATTTCATGCACGGGGCCACTAGTTATTTATAATAGCTAAGATCTGGAAATAGCCCAAGTACCTATCAGTAGATGAATGGATAAAAAAAACTGTGGTTCATATACACAATGGAATACTATGCAGCTGTAAAAAAGAAGGGTCTCTTACCTTTTGAGACAGCATGGGGAGTATTATGCTAAGAGAAATAAGCCAGACAGAGAAAGATAAGCATCACATGATCTCACTCATATGTGGAATCTAATGAACAAAATAAACTGACAAACAAAATAGAACCAGAGACAATGAAGATACAACAGACTGACATGTTTTAGAGGGAAGTAGGGATGGGAAGAGATTAACCAAAGGACTTACATGCATATATGCATAGCCCATGGACACAGACAATAGTGCAGTGAAGGCCTGGAGAAGGGGTGGAAGCGGGGTAGAGGGGGTCAACGGAGGGAAACAAGGCGACATCTGTAAAGCTTTCAACAATAAATATTAAATAAATCAGTTGGGGTGGGGGGAGAACACAGATGGAAAGGAGGACATGTGACTAAACATGAAGGTTTATGTGGTCCAGATTGAGCTGAAGCTTGCAATGAAACAGGACAACCAAGAGGGCTGTTCCGTGTATTTGGAAAAAGAACAAAACAGTGTCTGGTGCTGGAGGCCAATGGTATAACATTAGGATGGAAAGAAAGAAATGGGAGGGACTTGAGTCTTGTTTTGTTTCCATTTTTTCTTTTGAACTTGAAAAAGTAGGACAGATGGTGATAGGAGGGACATGAACCCCAAGTTGGGTGATTCATCTTCTGACCTTGGCAAGGTCTCCTGGAGTACTGAGGTTATAGTTGGTGACCTACAGGGTGCGTTAGAGACAGCAGAGGGCCTGGGCCTAAAGATGACTAATATCCATTTAGCAAAAAGACAAGGAGGCGGGCTCCACAGATATCTATAGACAAGGCTTGTAAGCACTTAGGAAATGGTTTGTCACTGGGCTTGATTGGGCTTATTGGGAATAAGGCATACCCATTTTAGTTTTTTTGAATATCAGACAGTATTTTTGGATTTTAGGTAAGGTTTTGATGTAACCTTAGGACATCCCCTGACCACCTGGTGATGCATGTTTATAACCACTTAAAGATTCTACTTGGGAAGGATTCTTCCCCACCCTCAACCCTAGACTTACGGAAGGGCTCTGCTCTTGTCTTTGTTCTGTTCATGATTTGAATTCGTGTTTCAGGGCTCTGCTGATGGTGGTGCTGGCGGAGAATAGGCCAAGAAGAACAGGCCAAGAGCTTCATAGACTGAAACAGGGGACCAACTCTGGAAAGGTGGATTTTACCAGGGAAAAGTGAGAAACTGCATTTGGGACTAGAAGAGTTAACTGTGCAGATGCAGTTTAGGGCTTGTGGCTCAGTAGCAACATGGGTGAGAAGAACTCTTAATTTTTTTTGCGGATTGCAAGCTCCATATACATCAGCAGGAGGATGTAGCTTTTAGAAGAGTTAGTGTGGGTATAGGCATTGACAGACACTCAGTGGGTTCTAGGGATGTGATACTCCAGGTTCCCTGAGCCTAACGCTGGGACACCTCAAACTCCTACAGGCAGAAGAGATGACTCCCACCTCTGAGTTCTTCGGTTCTGGAAAATTTCATTTCTTTTGTAATTTTCTCCCCTCTATTTTTCTGTTCTTCTTTTCTGGAACTCATTATATGTCAGATTTTGGAATTCTGGAGTTGATCTGATTTTTTCACCTTTCCCCCCTGCTATTATCCATTTCTTTATCTTTCTATTTTCTGAATGATTTCTTCTAAACTTATATTGAGTTTTTAAATTTCATTATTTATAATTTTCATTTCCAAGAGTTCTTTTTCCCCTCTGAATGTTCATTTAAAAAAATGGCATCTGATCTCATCTAATCTGATCTGCTTTGAATCTGCTAATACCTCTTTCCAATTCCATATTCCAAAAGTGTGTTTACATACATTAACTGCCTTTTTTTTTTTTTTTTTTTTTGGTCCTCTTCTCTTTGTTCTTGGTGGTTCATACTATTTACAAAATCCCTTTACTCTTATTTCAGGGGCTTTGGGAGGGAGCAGAGTTTAATCCATCTTATTTAACTGAAAGTTTATTCTTTAATTTAACATATTCTTTTATTTGTTTGTTTTTTTAATCCTCACCCAGGTGTGAGGATATTTTTGCCATTTATTTTTAAAGAAAGAGTGAAGGGGGGGCGGGGGAGAGAGGAACATCGATGTGTCACAGTGATTGGTTGCCTCCTACATGCGCCCTGACGGGGAACAGGAATCAGACCTGTAACACAGGTATGTGCCCTTGACTGGAATCAAACTTGCCAACCTCTGATGTATAGGCCAACACTCTAACCACTGAGAAATACCAGCCAGGGCTATCCTTTTGTTTTAAATGTGCCTTTTTAGGCACATTTTGATGTGATTGGTGGATTTTAAAACATCTAATATGAGGGTCTGAATTTTGATCAGGGAATTTAACCCATTATATATTTACTATAATTATGATTATATTAGGACTTCTGCCATCTTAATTTCATGCTTTATACTTCTCATGTTTTCTCTCTGCTTCTTTTTTGCCTTTCCTATTTTTTTGTGTGTAGATTGAATTTTCTCTGCTCATCTGAAATTTATATATAATTTTTCCTCTGTGTACCCTAACTTACTATGCCCCATATGTTCCCCTGTCACTGTCTGTGTTTTAAAAGTCTCAACACCGTTCTGTCTCCTCCTGCTCTCCCCACCTGTGCTGGTTCCTCAGCAACTCAGTGGAGTAATGGCAGCCCCATCCAATTGCCATCTTGTTCGGAACTGGACAAGGCTTGTTCAGGGCTGTCCTAGAGGGGACTCCAGTGCTCAGTAGGGTTTTGATTTAAATGACTTTTTAAAAGGTCCCTGAGGTTTCGAGCAAGTTCTGAGTATCGTAGGTTCTTACAGGGGAGTGAGAGAGAATGGACAAATCCAAGAGCTCTCCAGTAGAGCTGGGAACACCAGAGCTTCTGAAGTTCTGTTGTAGGCTGCCTCTCTGAGACTTCTGTTCTCTGCTTTTCTCTTAAGTGCTGTGTAGAATACTGTCCCATGACAAGCAGGAAAGAAATGAGAGGGGGCCTTGGGGAGATGGTAGGGAGGGCTGGGGACTAGGTTGAATGGGCATAGGCACACCTCATCCAAAGAGACAACCATCACTCAATCCCACTAAGTCGTTATCAGTAGGAATATGGGTCCAGCATTGTCAGAGCTTCTGATTTTCAAGAGAAGCCAGGAAAATAAGTTTTCTATGTGAAATCTTTTGATTTGTATATACTGGCTCAAAAATGTTTATAACCCCATGCAAGCCAAACAACATGTCTGCAGACTGGATCTGGCCCAGACACTATCACCCATGACCCCTCCTCTGGTTAGTCAATGATTCTGTCCTTGTCACACTTGACATTTCTCCCTTCTGGATAAATGTCCCCCAAACGTGTTATTTCCTACATCCTTCTCACAGCCACCTCTTCTGGGCCCCTTTACCTTGAGTGCCGTTCACATTACCATGTGCTCTTTCTCAAGGCCATCATTCTGTTAAGCACCTTAACCATCCCCCTTGTTTGCATTGTTAACTTATCTAGTAAATGAGTAGTATGAAGGTAAACTTTGTTCTTGCCCCATGCGTGTAGGCACGTGATGTGGGTTTGGTTTTCCTGGAGCCTGTCTGCAGCTGGAGCCCATGAGTCCTGGTTCTTAGAAGTACGAGAAGAAACTGCCTACTCTCTCGCTGGGGCATGGACACAAACACCCTGTGCCAGGCCCCAGCTCCCAGTGCCTTCACCTGCAGAGGGCAGGGCTTCAATGTGGTCCAGAGCTCAGGACCTGTGAGCCTCCTTGGGATGGCCCCTCCTGCCAGCCATGGCCTCTGGGGTGCTCTTGCCCTGAGTTTCTTTCCCATCTGGCTCTGCTCTTGCCTCATTCTGCCGGAGCGGCAGGAGCCTGTGGCAGCTGCAGCTTTATATACATTGCACAGTTGATGACTGATTCCACAGTAGCTCCTTGATAGGGAAGTGAAACAGCCACACCTGGTGGGGCCTGAACTTTTGGTGACAGTAGAAGTAGTTATGGAAACTGCCAAGGAGGGAGAAGTCCTCTCTGTAGCTAGGCTATGAAGAAAGCTCTTGCCTGGCCTGGTCCCACATGGCCTCCAGGAGTGGCTCTGATAACATGTATCACCCCCCACCCCCACCTGTTTTTTCTTGGTGACAGCTGGAAGTAGCAGTGGTCACAACTGAAAGAGCCAAACATTTCTACAGCCCCCAGGACATTCCTGTCACCCTCTACAGCGATGCGGATGAATGGGAGGTCAGTGCTGGGGGTCCCCAGGGCTGTGTTCCATCATGTGTCTATCAACAGGACAGGACTGTACTCCTGCAGCCCATAGTCCTGGTGGTCAGAGCAGACAGACCAGGCTCACGTCAGCAGTTAGGGCCCTCAAGGCAGAGGTGATGAGGAAAACAACTGCCTAGCTTCTGGCCTGTGGGAGGCCTATAGTCTCCCCCCACCCCAGGCAGAGCTCAGCTTTGGCCCTGAGCCTGAAGTTGAATGCCCTTGGGCTTATCTGGGCTGATACAACCACAGAAGAGCTCTGTTTCCCTCACCATGTCCCCGTGGCTCCCAATGTCAGGGCTGTCCAGAGTGCCTCACTTCCCACAGCCTACATCTGCTCTCTCTCAGAAGGGTGGGCACTGGCTGATTCACCAGACATTGAGTGTGGGCCTCAAAGGGGTGCCCTGCCAGGCATTTTTAAACATTCTCCGCCTAGAACATTTCTGATTGGTCCGTCTTCCCCAATTCTCCCCCTCCCCCATTTCTCACTGCCCCAGACATTTCTCACTGTCCACTGGCTTAGACAACCCAAGCATCCGCCTCAAGCAGACAGGGCAGGAGTTCCCTGCCAGATGTCAGTTCTCTTGAAAACCGAACCATAAAGGGAATAGCTTGGAAAGACAAGGGGCGTTTGTTTTCTCAGGCCTGGTTTCTCTCAGGCTATTGACTCTGCAGCCAATGCTCTCACCAGCTTAGCTGTGAGAGGGAGTGGCAGTGGATTTGGGCAGGGTTGCTCATCAGGTGGTCTTCCTCCGGTTCCTGACTTAGTGTCCTTGGCCTCTGTTTCCTCCCCCC